TTTTTATGTATCAGTGACATTCTGCGTTAAATGACTTGATAATGAATAGGCTTCATCTTTCACCGCCGCCATTGTTGCCTACCTAAGTGAAGGTTGATCCACTTTTGCATACTAATCACCCGTGACACGTGATTGGGTTGCTAGGCAACACTATTACGAATAACGTTTTCGATAAAACTATTTTTTTCTTTTCTTTTTAAACCTGACTTTTTGCGTGTAATGACGGTCAAGATCGTAACAGAATGGAAGGAAATTAGAAAAAAAAGGTTGAGTAACGAAATAACGAAATTTGATATCTTTCACTTAAATGTTTATTTTTTCGATGTTCGATCTCTTAATTCAATTGCTTGGTTCGGAAATTTATCACATTTCCTGTGACACACCTGCCTCGAGCGGAAGTATGCCTGGGGAAAGGAGCTTCCGGTCAGGGACTCAACCGGAAGGACGGGGGGTGGCCACCTGCTGTCCACACTTCACGAAGACTCAAGGTCGAGTCGAACATGAGAAGATACATTTTGGGTTCACGACACCTTATTTTAGTTTCTACACAAATATTTAGAAATCGTTAGAAAGGTAAAACGATCAAGTTTAATTTTCTAAATAGATTTATTTATTTAATGGATGGATTCACGTGTTTTTGGCTTATATTTATTAATTAATTTCTTTTACTCCTCGTGTCGTTCACGTGGTCGTTTAAAATTTTTGTCAATGAATTCACGTGCCTATTTAATGTTCATTTCGTATAAAGTACACGCGCAAAAACCACGTGGTTCTTTGTTTAAAATGTCAGCTACAGTTACTCCCTTGTACGAGTTTGCGCTTTCTGAATATTTTTGTCTGCTTCATTGAGGAAATATAAAGGTTTAATTTTAATCATCGAAAAATTCAATTTTTCGAATTAAAATATTGTAATCGAATTCAAGAAACCATATCGTTTAATTAAATATACAGTTTTTGATACAACAAAGCTTTAAAATCGTATAAAAATTAAGATAATATAATTTTTACACGTTTATTCAACTAGCATAATTAAAGGATTTTCACTGTAAACATTTTCTAAAAGAAATTATATAGAGTATATCCGTAAGAAATTTCAAAATATGTAACCCATTTGCTGAATGGAGATAGTTTCACACATATATCACCAAAGAAACAATTTACAGATAATAAACAGGTTTTTTCAGATCAAAAAAGAAAGGAGGAACCATTTCGGGATAGTCTATCTTCTCGAAAAACGGGGGTGTTGTACAGGTGTAGGAGTCTGACAGGTCATTATCCCCCTCTAATGGGAACAGGTAGCACCCTAGCGGTGAAACACGCCGTGAGCTGCTTAACCATGCGTTATATTACATTTTATCTTTAATTTTCTGATTGGTCAAGGAAAACACATAGAAGATCCCCCTTAAATATATCCAAAAGAGATCGTTGGCTTTTAATGTATTCTCCCATAGTTAAATACGAGGAAGAGAAATATGTTCCAGTTTAAAAAAAAAAGTAATAAATCTCACTTGTAGTAAATAATTTAACATGTTTTAAAGCAAATTTCTCGATATTCTGATAAGTTAAATGGTAAGTAAAGTACAAAGGTTAAACCAGACGTCAATCTAATTCTATAAACTGGGCATGCTCAGAATGATATTTTGAATCGAAAACACGTGTTTCTACATTCCACATTGGGGAATCCCCTATTTAACCATAACAAGTTCACCATTTTCTAAATCTAACGTTAGAAACGAGTTTTACAGTACACGCTTAGAAGATAAAAATCTCTCATGTTCACTTCTTTTATATGTGTGTGTGTGCAGATTTTCGCTAATTAGACATTTATAGCTTTATAATATATAGGGCACGATGGTAATTTTAAATTTAATTAATTACGCGCTCTCCGCCCAAATTTCGCGCCTTAATAAACTTTTCTCTTTTAGATTTTTAATTTTAATTATATTTTTAAGTGATTTTNACGCGAACAAAGTGGAACTCCAAGAAGTTTGAAATTGTCTATTAACATATAGAAAAATTAATGTTTTTTTAAAAAGAAATATATTGTTAACGATATATATTTCGCTCATTTTTTATTTTGGACTTTAATATTTGACCTATTTTTTCGTTTAACCTCATACCCGATGTTCCCTAACAGAAAATAAAGTAGCATTCTTCACTCCGTCTGACTTCTGAAATTTGATACAGGACGAACCGAGTAGCCTTACTTTATTTGTACCAATGTTTACAGTCACCGAACCCAAACACCTTTCCGAGTTTATTCTATTTTCAGCCCCTCTAAAAAGTTCTAGGAGGTTCCAGATTGGTTTATATTCTTTACAAAGAGAGAGATCTGGCTCGCGTGTGTCCAAACAGGAGATTACGTGTAAGGTCCAAGTATGGCAACTAAATTGTAACTATATTCAACACGATATTTCTCATTTTCATATCTCCAGAGAAATATTAAATAAATAATAATAATAAATTTCATAATCATCTGATTTATATGTATAAGTTAGAAGGGTGATTCATCCTTCCTGAACTCCTAAATGGAATACAAAATGGTTAACGTGCACCCCTTTTAGTATTTTGTTAAAGCTTCGTTTGAAACAATTACCCAGAGGCATTTATTTAGTAAGAATTTGATATTATCTTTCAGGCATTCAGCAAGAATTTCATGCTTTAAAAGTATGACAAAGATATGACGTATATCATGCCTGTAAAGCATGAAAGTACTCGTGAAAGCATGCCTAGAAGAAATGCAAAAAGTATCTAATTGATATGACTCTTAACTGTATCTCCTGTATCAGTAATTCAAGCAGAATTTCAGCTCTTTAAACCTTTGAAATGACTACACTCCAGTTGCAAGCTTTACTTTGAAGCGACTATACTATTAAAAAAACAGCTGAAGTAACTATCGGTAGTTGCTTCAGATCTTGTTTGAAGGGAAAAAATTCAACAGAAAATATGGCTTATAAAATTTAAAAACAAGTCAAAGAAAAGGATAGTATTTTTTAAAGTTAACCTTTTTTTTTCACATTTTTCAATTTATATCTCTCCATACTTCTGTTGCATTTGGCCTCGGATGTATCTGTAATGGAAGTCAAGAATTCGATTTCCGAAATGTTGCTTTGTAAGTGCCATGCCGTGACGTCACCGAAGCAAACCAATGGCATTACGGAAAGGAAAGGCAGGGCATTGTTCTCTTTTAAATCCCTCTTCGGCGACACTTTTACTTTCGAAGACGTTTACGCGTTGTTTTCTTAACAATTCTTACATGTATGGGTGTGATTCTAAGTACTTTGCAGGTACTCGATGACGCAACAAACAAAAGAGATGCCGACACCTTAATCGTCGTGATCTCTCACCTTTCCTTGACCCACAATTATTCTCCACCCGGAACTGATTAGTTCCAGTATGACCTTCCGGCTAGCCACAAGTTAGTAAAAGACTGCTCTGATTTTCATACTTTTAGCATTTTCTACCCTCCAGTTTTGCTCCAATCAGATATTAGGATTTAATTATTTTCGTGTGGGTCACGGCTTACTCATAACTATCTAGATTGACACGTCAGAGGGGAAAGATCGATTCATTTGTCCCCTCAGTTACGTCATTCTTCTTTGTGACCAGCTTGCTGTGTGACGTCATGGATCGGATAATCATGCTGACACCTGGATGAGAACATGAATATTTTCCTCCCTTAATAAGATTTTGGTTTTTCGAAATGAAATTTATTAATAAGCACTCAAAAAATTATTAAAAAATCTAAAAACAGTCATTTTAATGCGTTATAAAGTTTAAAAATAATTTTAAAAGTATTTTCAACGTTTATTGGTTTAACCTGGTGACGTAACAAAAAATTATTTCTCTTTCCAATAAAGAAATTAAAACGAATATTAACCAATCACTGCGCGAGATTTTAAAAATATAAAAAAAAATACAGAGACATTTATTGGTTTATTTTCATGACGTAAAAAATCAGTTTTCTTTTTATATAAAAAAGAAAACATTAAGAACGAATTAATTTAAATTTTTAAAAAATTTTTCAGCAGTAAATTTTATTGATTTTGTGACGTAACGAATTTTTTTCTTTTCTTTTTTTCTTTACTCAATGTTATTATAATTTAAAAAAGTAATCATTGAATTAATCTCTATTATAATATTGGAATGTAAAATTACTAAAACGAAAAAAAAATCCTTCTTTGAACCATAATTATAATAATAACAGTTTAAATATTTAATTAACCAATCATACCAGATAATTGAAGTATTTAAAATAATATATTAAACATTAATTGGTTGCTTTGTTGTGACGTAGCTAATCGGGTAATTTCAAATCTCGAATTTAAGAAAAATAAGAAAGAAAATAATAATAATAATAATAAAAATTAAAAATTTAATTGCTTTTATTTCTGTCACGAAATGTTATTTTTAAAATATTTGATTTTCTTATTTATAATATTGATTAAATATTTAATTATATTTTAATAAGTAATTAACATTTAGTGTTTAAATTTAAAAGTCGTAGTAAGTGATTGGATAATTATGTACGAAACGTAATCAATTTATTCGAAATTAATTGCCGATTGGATGATATAAAAAAAAATAAATAAATTTTCCAATAAGCAAGAGGAGTTATTTGAAATTTAAAAATCACGCCATCTTATTGGTCGATTTTAAATATTTAAATTATGAAATAACGAATCTTTTATAAATCTAACCAATCCGAGTTATTTATAGCATTATTTTCCGTTTTTTTTTACTTCAAAACTCTTTTATTGTTTTCTTTTTCGATCCATTTTAAAACATGGAAGCAAATAAAATTTTTTAAAGTTATATTCGGCGACTTTTATGAATTCAGTTTGTTTTTTTTCTATCTTTTTTTTTTTAAAAAAAAGAAGATTGCTATAGTTTCTCTCAACATCGATTGTTGGAAAGGAGGGGAGAACGGTGGTGTGCTTTTCCTCTTCGCCACCAGAGCGCACCACGTTCGTTCACACTGTGGCTGTCACGTGGATAGAAGTGTAACGTGTTGTGCAGATCAGTGCTAGGCCTTGCAGAGAGCGAAATCGTCAGCTGGCGAAGGACGATTAGCTTTTCTCTTCGCGCCATTTGTCTGCAGATAAAAACCGGCGGGATATAGGTGTTTCTCTGTAGTGTGCCAACACAAGAAGACATTCTATCTGCCATATCGGTTGAGAAGTGTAACCCGAGACTTGAAGACCCTCTTTCTCCGGGTGTTCGAGCATCAGACTATCGAGTGTGTTTTATTTTTTATTTTTTTTTGTTTCGGACGGAAGGTGTTTATGTGTTTTCATTCACGGCGGAAGTTGTGCGGCGATGACGTCGGCTGTCACGTGGCCATTCCGGAAATGATTCCAACGTGACGGTAAGTTACCTTTTTCTTAATCTGCTAGTTAGTGATGTTATAGACGTGTGTTGCGCCAGATGGCGGATCGCGGACCACTTTCTGCAACCGGCTGATATATCTGACGCCGTGATGTCGAACAAAGGGACAGTCCCATGTTATATTGTGACATCATCACGACGGCTAACCTTTCTCTTTGTTATACGTAATGACAGAGAACACGTGATCGTTTTTAAGCATGCAAGTAGTTCACATGTGCGAATTTTATTGGGATAATTTCAACCTCGTAACGTTTTGTATTCAACTTTTTTCCCTCCCTTTTCGAAGCATGTAATGGGATAAAGATATTCTCGATAGTCAATTGACATAGTATTGCCGCCTCTGCTTTTCAGTTTTGACTACTAACCAGTTTCAGAAGGTCGTCGGGGTCATAAGAACCTCACAACTGCCATTCACAGCTGTAGCTGGAAAGTCCCCCGTCCACACTATGTACTCGGACCTCTTTGAAAGTATTTCTTTCAGGTCACGTGTTGGTTAACTTAATTGAGAAAAGAGGAGTAAAGGAGTGTATAGGGAGGTATTTATACCATATTTCAGAGGTCGTATTACCTTTTTTTAACAGTCTATCTGCGTAATATAAGCTTACACGTATATTGAAACACGTGATAGTGTGGGGCACGTTGCCAATGTCAGTGATTTATAATAAACAGGGAGGAAATTAATTGAAACTGATAATGTTCTGGTCGAACACTATTCGAAAGTGTCATTGGCGCAGAACTGGCTATAGTGTGACGACCTAACAGATAGATAAACTAGGTCTAGTTAGACAAGACTGGTTTGCCTTCTCAGTCATCTGTCCTCCCTCCCCTCCCATTTTCTTCGTGGGAAGGCTGGAATTCTTGAGGCAAGGTTCGTTCACTTGGATTTTAACAATAAAACTATCGTTGGCTAGTGGCGAACAAATGAGAACTGGTTACTCTCCGCTCTGGCTACTTTCACTTAACTAAATAGTTTTTCAAATTCTTGTTCTTAAAATAGTTTTGCCTATATTTAATTCTTGTAAATGACTGTAAAAGTGTTTTATTGAATTTTTCTGACTTTTGTTTTTCGTCATTTTTTTTTCCTTTAATAAAATTTTTAAATGAAATAAATGAAACTAGTTTATAAATTTATATAAAATTAATCTTTTCGATGGATTAACTTTGATTTTTAAGGTATTTTTACGCTAAATTTTGACTTCAATTATAGTTTTGTAGTTGATTTTAATTAACATTTCTGGATAAATTTAGTTCTTTGTTAGTTCGGGTTTAAAACTATCGGTTATACAAGTTTGATTCCATTTAAAATAACCGAAATTTTAAAGATTTGCTCCATATTTAAGCTTTAATAATTGTTAAATATACATATTTTATTCCATTATCTTCATCTGTATATTGTATATATATACGATATGTAAACCAAAGCAATTATTCTCAACTGGTAGCTCTAATGCATTAAATTAGTGTTATCGTGTGGGATTTCAACACCCTGGCTAGTGTTAACAAGATGTAAGGGATACTACTGTGGTTGGCAGGTGGTTTGTGACCTCCCAGGTAGTTGACAGATGACAGCTTTTCGGGTCTCCTTTATGATATTAATTAAGAATGGTTCCCCGGTTGAACTCAGGTGTTATGCCCGGTTTGGACATTATGTACTTGACATCTGCATGAATATTTCTCAACTTAATCATGCGATTTTACAGCTTGAGTAAGTGATTTATGATGTCGATCGGTTATTCCGTTAATAGATCTTTACAGTATGTTTGCCCTCATAATCTCGAAATTCCAAAATAGTGGGGTTTATATGGGGGAAGTTTGTGCTAATTTATATGCTTGTGCCACAGCCGCTTTATCGGAATCATGTGACACGTATAGGGTGAGTTATGATCTGGATTGGATAATTCTCTGTTGACGTTTGTTTATTCTCGCGTACGCTACGGGTGCATAACGTGATGCCACCCGACACTCTCTGGTCTTAATCAACTGAGTTTACAATTTTCTACTGTGATTTATAACCCTCTGGCTAGTTTTTATCTTCAGTAACGGTTGAGAATACGATGCTTAATTATTTATACCCTCGTTAAAAATATATTTTTATGTATCAGTGACATTCTGCGTTAAATGACTTGATAATGAATAGGCTTCATCTTTCACCGCCGCCATTGTTGCCTACCTAAGTGAAGGTTGATCCACTTTTGCATACTAATCACCCGTGACACGTGATTGGGTTGCTAGGCAACACTATTACGAATAACGTTTTCGATAAAACTATTTTTTTCTTTTCTTTTTAAACCTGACTTTTTGCGTGTAATGACGGTCAAGATCGTAACAGAATGGAAGGAAATTAGAAAAAAAAGGTTGAGTAACGAAATAACGAAATTTGATATCTTTCACTTAAATGTTTATTTTTTCGATGTTCGATCTCTTAATTCAATTGCTTGGTTCGGAAATTTATCACATTTCCTGTGACACACCTGCCTCGAGCGGAAGTATGCCTGGGGAAAGGAGCTTCCGGTCAGGGACTCAACCGGAAGGACGGGGGGTGGCCACCTGCTGTCCACACTTCACGAAGACTCAAGGTCGAGTCGAACATGAGAAGATACATTTTGGGTTCACGACACCTTATTTTAGTTTCTACACAAATATTTAGAAATCGTTAGAAAGGTAAAACGATCAAGTTTAATTTTCTAAATAGATTTATTTATTTAATGGATGGATTCACGTGTTTTTGGCTTATATTTATTAATTAATTTCTTTTACTCCTCGTGTCGTTCACGTGGTCGTTTAAAATTTTTGTCAATGAATTCACGTGCCTATTTAATGTTCATTTCGTATAAAGTACACGCGCAAAAACCACGTGGTTCTTTGTTTAAAATGTCAGCTACAGTTACTCCCTTGTACGAGTTTGCGCTTTCTGAATATTTTTGTCTGCTTCATTGAGGAAATATAAAGGTTTAATTTTAATCATCGAAAAATTCAATTTTTCGAATTAAAATATTGTAATCGAATTCAAGAAACCATATCGTTTAATTAAATATACAGTTTTTGATACAACAAAGCTTTAAAATCGTATAAAAATTAAGATAATATAATTTTTACACGTTTATTCAACTAGCATAATTAAAGGATTTTCACTGTAAACATTTTCTAAAAGAAATTATATAGAGTATATCCGTAAGAAATTTCAAAATATGTAACCCATTTGCTGAATGGAGATAGTTTCACACATATATCACCAAAGAAACAATTTACAGATAATAAACAGGTTTTTTCAGATCAAAAAAGAAAGGAGGAACCATTTCGGGATAGTCTATCTTCTCGAAAAACGGGGGTGTTGTACAGGTGTAGGAGTCTGACAGGTCATTATCCCCCTCTAATGGGAACAGGTAGCACCCTAGCGGTGAAACACGCCGTGAGCTGCTTAACCATGCGTTATATTACATTTTATCTTTAATTTTCTGATTGGTCAAGGAAAACACATAGAAGATCCCCCTTAAATATATCCAAAAGAGATCGTTGGCTTTTAATGTATTCTCCCATAGTTAAATACGAGGAAGAGAAATATGTTCCAGTTTAAAAAAAAAAGTAATAAATCTCACTTGTAGTAAATAATTTAACATGTTTTAAAGCAAATTTCTCGATATTCTGATAAGTTAAATGGTAAGTAAAGTACAAAGGTTAAACCAGACGTCAATCTAATTCTATAAACTGGGCATGCTCAGAATGATATTTTGAATCGAAAACACGTGTTTCTACATTCCACATTGGGGAATCCCCTATTTAACCATAACAAGTTCACCATTTTCTAAATCTAACGTTAGAAACGAGTTTTACAGTACACGCTTAGAAGATAAAAATCTCTCATGTTCACTTCTTTTATATGTGTGTGTGTGCAGATTTTCGCTAATTAGACATTTATAGCTTTATAATATATAGGGCACGATGGTAATTTTAAATTTAATTAATTACGCGCTCTCCGCCCAAATTTCGCGCCTTAATAAACTTTTCTCTTTTAGATTTTTAATTTTAATTATATTTTTAAGTGATTTTTAAATTTTATTTTTATTTAAAAATGGAAACGAATTTCATTCTAAATGCTTTCATTTTTAAATATATTTATGTATTTTATTATATTTTTAACAGGTGACTTCACGTGCCGTTTTCACTTTCTTATAATTCTTTCGCGGTGTGTTTTCACTTTCAATCAATTACTTCACGAGCGGATTCCACGCGCGGTTTAGATTTTTCTCAGAAAATGAACCCTCGTGAAGATTTCACGAGCTCTTTCCTTTTATATCAATTACGTCGTGTATGTCACGTGCTTTTTACTGTCGAAATAATTTCCTTTTTTTTTTTTAAAAAAAAATATGATTAAATTGCCTTCAAAAATAGCCGCAAAATTAAATCTAATTTAATTAACGAAATTTTTAAATTAATTAATAACCAAAAGATGCGTGCCTAATTTTTGCATTAATAACGAATAATACGTAAGTAATAGTAAAAATTATTAAAATAATTTCACATTCTGACATTTCTGCAATGAAAATTGCCTTGAAATTTCCGAAAACGTCGAAAAATTGCTACAAATTCGTGAAATTCTATGACTTAATAACAAAAAAAAAATTACAGATTTCACTTCCTATCTTTTGTTTTTATTTAAATAAAAAAAAAACACGAAATTATCTTATAGTAAGGGGGGAAAATATTCACAGAAAATGCGCAATTTGCTTAACACGTGCGAAAAGAATTAAATTCGATATCGATATGACAATTCGATAAATGGATTTCTTTTTAAAGAGAATATTTGTTTATATAAGAGCTTTCGTTTGAAAATAAATAAATAAAATGTCGAATTATCGGATGGTTTGCTCGAAAGTGACGTCACTAATTCCAGTATTAACTTATATGCTTGAGTGGTGTAGAGAGACGTAACAGAGTCAGTGTCCTGAGTCGTGTGAAAAACAACGCATTACAAAAAAAGTA